GACCCAGCCAGCACAGTTCCCACCTGCTTTCACTTTGCATCACTCGCCTGATGTCTATTTGAGCGGAGTGGCAGGTGGCACCTCACTTCCTGCCCTAAGTGAGCTCTGAAGTCCTGGGCACCTGGATCCCCTTCCCAAGATGACCAGGCTCTCAGGTGTTGGCCCCTGTCAGTCATTCTCAGGGACTCAGGGCAAGGCAGGAAGATAGAAGAGGAAACCAAGATCTGGCCCCATGACGGGCTGCTGAGGTCAAGTCCAGCATGCGGCTGTGCTTCCCTCTTCTCCAGGGGCTCCTCCGACCAAGATCTTTCCTTTTACCTGGCACTAAACCAGACATCCCTACACTTGTGGCAAGGCCAAAGTCACTCATGGCCCAGACAGGCGGTGGCAGGTTGGTTGGACAGAAGAAAGGCTATAACATCAAAAGCAAGAGTCAGGGAGGCGGAACAGAGCCCCGATGGCACCAGGAAGAGAGGGTGTCACATCCTCGAGACATTCTGATTGGCGGAGCCCACGTTTGCTTGGGACAGAATCACACCAACCCCATCCCTGGGAAATCTCACTTCCTGGTCACCACAGCCCTGCCCCTGTGTCATAAGTTCACTTCAGATGTGAAGACCCTGACCCCTAGAAGGACGCAATGTCACTCTTTGCACTGGGCTCTGGGCCAGGCTCCAGGCAGGGGTGGACTTCAGGGCTCAGTCAAGAGAGTGTCGGGGCTGAGCCTCCCTGAGGTCAGGGCTTGAGTAATGAAAGGAGAGGTGGGGATATAAAGGCATAGGCTTGGGTCACCAGGGAAGGAACAGCATGGGTGAGAGAGCTTGAAAAGGAGAAAGAACCTGGATGCCAGGCAGGGGAGCTGCACCACCTTGGGGAGTTCACGGCTGTGCCTCCAGGACCCGGTCACGGCAGGAGCTGAATAATCTGAGGTAGAGGAAGGACGAAAGGAAGGAGGAAAACAGAAATGAAGGGAGGGGGAGAGAAGGGAGGGAGAGAAGGAGGAAAAGAAGAGAAGAGGAAAGGGAGAGGAGGGAATGAGAACAAGAGAGGATAGAAGGGAGAATAGAGGAGGGAGGGAGGGAAGGAAGAAAGGAGGGATGGAGGGAGATGGGAGGAAGCATAATTTGGTATGAAGTAGGAAGTCATCAAAAGTTTGGGGGAGGGAAATACATGGTCACAGCCTGAGAAGGGTTGGACCGAAGAGAAACCAGAACAAAAGAAATAAATGGGAGAGGGAGAGAGGCAGCGGGCAGTTATAATGCCAACTGTGACATATTTGTTAGGTGGCCTATAGAGTTCTCATACAATTAGCTATTGGCATGGGAAAATGGTATTGCTGCATTCTCATCTCACCTTTCCTTCCTGGTCAAGTTTTCTAGGCTGCAAGAGTGAGTGAGCCTGAGGATGTGGGGGCCTGGCCTCATCACAGCACTAAGACTGCTCTGGGTCTCCTTTCTGTGCTGGAGTCCAGGCCACAAGAACTTGTCAGGAATCCCTGCCTCGAGCAGTGCCCTGACAGTAAATGCCACCTGAATGAATGAAAGAATGATTGAATGAATGAATGAATGAATGAACGAACAAACTAACAACAGCCCATGTCTGCTAAACCCCCAAGACCATCAGCCAGGAGCCTGAGCCAGCAAGGGGTGGAGAAGCAGCAGCCCCTCCCAGGACCAGCTCACACAGGCTCTAAAGGTCTCGCTACCTGTTGGATTGGAATCATCCAACGGGGTGTGGGGTATAGCCCTGGAGGTGTTTCCAGCAGCTTCCGGCAGCTACCTGCTCCCAGAATACAGACCCCAGCAAGCATCCATTGCCCCTTGAGGATGGCTGCTGGCCACCGTATCCTCCCAGGGGAAAGAGAGAATCCCAGGTGATCTTTGCATGCACGCCTTATTTGCCAAGAGACGTGAAATTTCCTGGTGATTGTGTTCTAGAAGTTAAAGACAGAAGGTTTGAGCTAGACTTAAAAACAGGGCTGCTTGCAAAGATCAAGTGTAAGGTTGCTCTAGCACAGATATCGCAGGCATGTCGTAGCTCCAGCATCCCGCAGTCCCCAGCCCATCTTACCCAGCTGCTCCGCCATCCCTCGGCCTGCAGCTCAGGTGCGCCAGGCGGAAACATGCCTCACTCACTGCCCCCGGATAAATCCAGTCTCCCCTTGTTAGCTGGGGAAGGACTATTCTCCTTTGACCTTTGGGGTGACACCCCTATGAGGAATACAGAGGCTGAAAGCTTGGAAAACCAAGAAAAGCTCAAGAACTTTGAAAACAGCAAAAATGACGATCTGCTCAGTGAGCTGACCCCAAAGCCTTGCTGTACTTGCCGACATCCTTACTTTTCTTCTGAAAAACTTTTTTCACTTTTTTTAAGTGGCTCTTTGTAAGCATCAGGAGCAATGCCCATTGGGCTACTGAGGCTAATGGTTTAACAAAATGTATACCTCACAGAATTACTGCTTTTAAAAATAAAACAAACGTCAGCAATCATTTTGTCCTCTTGGACAAGGGTCACCCTGAAATAAAAGACAAGCCTGTTTGACCCTCGGTGCTCTGGGGCAGGCACAGCTTTGCTTTAGCCCTGCAAATGGCTGGCATCGGTCTTGTTCGGTGAGGCCTGCAAGGTGCGGAAGATTGACTAACGGCGTCACATGCTTTAGTGTGCAGGTCATTCCTGTGCTAGAGCCGCAGACAGCTCAGAAAGACCCCACCTCCAAGGTCATTGAGTGCCATGGGGTACGCAAGAGAATGTGAAGGGAAATAAGGTGATGAAATGCTGGTGAGACAAGCTGTTTTAAAAGGAATTGTGTGTGTTTATGTATATCACATGGTATGTACACCTCAGAAGAAAAGAGAAGGTGAGAGGGAGAGACACCAAAATGGGGGGGATGACCTGTTACAGGGGTCTTTACTTTTTTTCTTTCCTTCTTTTGTATTTTACAATTTGTCTACAAAAAATACATAAAGCCTTTATAAACTTAGAAAGTTATCTTACAAAAGTAACCTTCCTTCCAATGTCAGCATGCTGGTACCTGGATGTGTGTAGCAGCAGGTAAAGTGTTGGGCCCTAGAACCCCAGAGCCTGGCCCCAAATCCACCAGTCCACTTTGGGTCCCATGATCTTTAGCAAATGCCTCCATTAGTTTTTAAGTATTGTTGTCATTCACGCTCATCCAGCATTTTCTACATGCAGAGGACTGCCCAGCAGTCCACACCATTACCTTGTCATGCATGTCACAATTAGCATATGTATGAATTACCACTTAGGGGTGTCAAAGTATGAATGCAGTAATGTATTTCTAAGCACTGTGCATTTTGTCACCTGTGCTCTGTAGTATTTCCTTTTAATAGCATTAAATGTCCATTCATAAAAAATACAAAATAAATAAAAAATGAAGCACAACTTTGGGCCTGGGACTGTGTCCAAACACGCATTTCTTTTCCTGAAAATTCTCCTCACCTCGGAGGCTCCATCAGGCACCCTTGCTGTAAGTTCTAATCTGAGAAAGCCGTTTCTTGAGGGCTGCCAATTAAACGTTCCACAAGGGTCAGTCAGTCAGCAGGAGTGTCTCCCCCTGCTCTGGGCAATGTTTTGCTAAATATACTCATTGAAGGGTCCGTCTTAAGTAATTATGCCCCACAGGTGTTTGCAATATAGTTTGGTGTGCCAAATGGCCATGAAGCCAGAGCGCAAACTGGCCTAGAGATCCACCTGAAAGGTTCCATCTCAGCAAGGAAAACTCAGGGTTCAGAGCAGCAAACAGGTAAAATATTAATGAAACTTGGGAACAAACAGATCTGAATTATTTCGTTGGCCTGCTGTCTAATTGGGGAAATGTTTGTAACCACTGATATATGTGAAACACGATGCCTTCATTCCAGGGAAAAATAAACTGGTGTAGTCCTGTTGCCCTGCGAATGCTCCCATGATTTGGAGAGAATTTAAACAGTGGTGCCCAACAAGGCGAAACAGGCACCTGGGACTGCTGATAAATCAGTCAAATTTCCTTTTTAGAGAAATAGCACACCTCCTCTGTCCAGAAGGCTTGGTGGGCCTCTGGGCAGCTTGTTAAACAGTATGCCAGTCCCATCTGTTTTTCCCCTGCTGAAAGCTGCTAAAAAGTCAGACAGGGGTGAAATCAACACATATTGGTCTAATAAAAAAGAGTGATTCACTGGGGACATTTTCCCCTAGATTCGTCTTCAAGAAAGCCTTTGTTGAAAAGATTTAAACTATTTTTCTTCTATGTCTTTAAATGGGGCTGTGAATAGCAGCAGTCCTCTGTGATGTGGGCAGAGAACACTCAGAATAGTAGACAGCAGATGACAATTGCTCACACCTATTTGTGTAGATGCTGCCTTCCCATTTTTGCTCAGATCTTTTAAGTTCTATCACAGCCATGACAAAATGATGTCTCAAGTTTAAGTACAGTCATCATGGCCATAGATGTTAATACCTTGGTGACATTGCTGTAAGCCAATTCTGTAAGAGGAAAATGTTCCTGTAAGAGAAAAATGTTCCTGAGAGTAGTCTGCTAGTCTGCTGCTATCCTCAGGGATCACAAAAGGCAGTGCCTGCACAAGGCAATGCTCATTGTGCAGAAAGGCTGCCTGCCTCCTGCAAGCTGTTCCGATAAGCAGCTGTCGAAAGGGAGGGGGCCGGGAAAGGAGGAGGAGGGGAGGGAGAGGCTGCTGTTATCAGGTTGGGTGGCCAGCCTTTAGCTGCTGCACTGATGTCTTATCTCAAGTATGCTCCTGTCTTGCAAGTTTAAAAATCTTCCTAAAAGGAGAAATATAGGAGCAGGGCTCAAGTCCTGCCGTAACTCCCTGCCAGCGCCCCCTCCCCCACTTCCAGTGCCCGGGTGAGCCTGTAATTCAGCCCAGAAAGTTGGATGGAACAGGTGCCACCAAGTTCCATGAGTTGCAGCGCTCATCTGCAACCCCGCTGACCACCACCCCCCTCCGAAAGGGCCCCCTACCCTCCTCAATAAAGAGAATAAGTTTGTTTCAGTAAGTTTATTGTAAAATTCAAAACTGCAGCAGCATAATCCTTTAGAAAACGAAGCACTGCCCAGATCCGTTTTGAAACAGCAGTGCAGACTGCTAGGTCCGTCAGAGCTCCTGTAATTGTATAAGTCCAGGCCGCCTGGCCTCGCCTTTCCTCTGCTTCCTGCCCACAGCGCAGGCTGCTGAGTCACGCCTGCCGAGCCAGTCCGTCCTTCCCGGCCCCGTGGCAGACATCCCGCCTCCGGCCTTCCTGGGCGAGCAGCCGCTCCCCACACTTGTAGAGTCCTCGGCTGGGGGCCAGCCTGCCCCTGCCGCCGCCAGGCCCCCTTAGTTGAAGGGAACCGCGCCTCCTCGCCGCTCTCTCCACGCGACCCCGCCTGCCAGTCTCCACGCCAAACTCCGGCGCCCTCCGAGAGCGCATTCACAGAGCCAGCCCCGCGCTAGGCGCCCTCGGGCGTCTCCACGTCGATCAAGACCAAGGACCCCCACCGGGCTGTCACTCAGGGAGGGTAATACTGGGCACCCAGTCGTTGACACTGCGGCTTTCCTCGCAGAACAGGCTGAGCTTCTCCAAAGCGGGGTCCTTCCACGTGTCCTCATTGGGGTTCTACGGGAAGAGCGCAGAGGTCAGCCTCGCTGGCCGCTGGCCGCTGGCCACTGGCCCGGGCGGGAGCGACACGGGGAGGAGTACACTCACCGAAATGAGGATGCAATGCAAGTCTCCTGGCGCGCCCGCCTCGTCGCCTGCGCCCACGATGGCCGCCAGCCGCTGCACGTCGCCCACACGCACGATGTCGATGTCGTTCTCGCAGCAGAACGCCTGGATCAGCGTGAAGTGGATCTGCAGCGCGATATCGCCCTCGTCCTCCTCATCTGCTGCCAGCACGCAGAAGGTCACGTTGTCGGGGTCCCTGCGCAGGGGGGTAAAGGGTGATGAGGTCAGGACACCACTGAGCTCCGGGTGCCCCCGCCGCTGCCTCCCAGGTCTCCCTGCCGCTCCCCCAGCTCCGGGTCACCTCATCCCAGCCGCATTGATACTCACACGTTCAGGACTTTGGCGGACTCGTAAACGCCGGCGGTGAGGCAGCCCTGGCGCTGCGCCGATAACAGCAGCTCGTGCAGCGCTTTCCCGGCGCCCTGCATCCTACGGACAAACCAGTGCTGTGAGTTCGAACTTGCCAGAGCGCAGTGTGGTCCCCAGCTGAGAGGACGCACCCCTGGTGCCCCATCCCTGCTGACATACCCCCGCCCGACTCCCCAGCCAGCGTGTTCCCACTCCGGCAGGCTCTTAAGGCTCTCGCCCGACCAACCGTGGCAAGGACAGGGCGAATTCCCCGCGCCCCGACACGTCCGGCACCCGACGCCCACCCACCTGGCTGTGCTTTCAGGAACCGTGTCCTGGCAGCGGACTTCTTCCAGAGTCATGGTGTGGTAGGCGAGCAGCAAGTTATCCACAAGAGGAGCCGGCGAAGCGGACGGAGGAGACAAGGGACGGATAAGGAAGCCTGCAGCCACTACCGGCGCGCCACGGTCAGCGAGTGCTCTGAGGTACAGCCGCGCGCCCTTATATAGACCAGGGCCGAGGCGCCGCCAGCTGGCGCGAAGCTGCGAGCCCATTGGCTAGCGCCGGCTTTCTGATGCAAATGAGGTGGCGGCCGGGGACTAGTGCCAGAAGGCCACGTGGGGAGGGCTGCGGGGGATGACAATGCCTCAAATCTGCCGCTTTTGTCGGGGTGTTACTAGGCAGACTGGAGCCTGCAGATTTCATCTCCCTTTTTTGTTGTTTAAAGTCCTTAAAAGGAAAAAGTTATTAAAAAAGCAAACAAACAACCTTGCTTGCTAATAGTTTGCTGCAATTTGTGAAATACACCTTTGGAGGATCTAAAAAAATTATTTTGCATTCATTTTATTTTTGCTGCTACTTTTCTATTTTTGTCTTTACTTTTAATTTGGACTTTAAGAGGCTATTGCTTTGAAACCGGAACTTAAAGTAAAAACACGCAGCGCTGGCTTTAAGCTTGCAGAAGGTCTGGTCGCAGCCCCCTCCAGCTGACACTTAACGCCCCCCGAGCGCGCCAGCAAAGCCTCGGTGCACGCTCAAAGCCCCGACCCGACAGCGCTGGAGGATCGGAGCCAAACTCCCCGCCCGCAGCAGATCACTGCGGGGCGCTGGGCACGCGAGCAGATTGGGGCCGGCGCACGCGGCTCGTTTGCATTTCTATGGAGGACGCACAATAGCAGAGGTCTGGCGTGTGGCGGTTTGCAGAAGGGACAATCGAGTCTTTCTCCTCATAGCGACACTGCCCACCTGCCGCCGGGTGGGAAGGGCAGGGCGGCGCCGCGCGTGGGGGTTTCCCGGCGGCCTGGCGCGTGGGGATCTGGGCAGTGTGCTGCTTCTGTGCCCTTCGGTGCGCGCGCCCATTTCCATGTAATTCCGCCCCACCAGGTCCTGGCAGTCAAGCTCAGTAGCCGCAGAAGTTGAAAAGAACTATTTGGGCAGCCAGGTGCGCTCCGCCGGGACCTCGAGACTCCAGTCCCCCGGAGCTTGTGGAACAAGGCCCGGAATCCCTTTCCGTGGGCGCCATCTACAGGCCGGGCAGAAAGAGTCTGACCACCCCGTCTTCCCCACTCCCACCCCCGCCCCCAATTTCCAGTGGCCTCTGGAGGTTGGCCTCCAGCCTTCCAGGCTCGCGGTGGCCCTGACAGGATCCGCTGAGCTCCATCCAAGCTACCCATTGATGGAAGCCAGAGTAGGGGCTGCAAAATCCACGCAAGGAGAAGGTGGGCACGAAATATGAAGGAAGAGCCCATGTTTCTTATGCTATTTTGAAATTTTTAAATTTAAGTATGTATATATAATATAAAGTTTGTTTTCCAGTAATAGAATAATAAAACTGTAAGAGCCCTTGAGAGAGTTTAATAGAAATTGCTGTGATGTGACCATTTCGGACCTACAAGCGGGCGCTTTCAGGTGGTTCGCCCACTTTTGGTATCTGCATCTCTCTGCACTAACATTGAAGTACGCTCTGGGGTGCACTTCATTTACCCTACTTTTCTAGGCGAGGACTTGGGAGACTGGGCAGGACAGTGGGCGGGCAGAGGGATTCCTGGAAGCCCAGGTTCCCGGCAAGACAGGAGATAATGGCGAAGAAAAATAACAGAGTGAGCTAGCAGCTGGCGACCCCCTGTGGCTTGCTGGCAGAAGACAGCTGCAAAATCAGGCCACCTCCTGGATTCCAAGTAGCGGGTATTTGCTTAACCTTACATTCCTGAAACCCGAGGTGTCCTATCGCGAGAGCCAGGTGGCATAGTGCTGAGTTTATTTGCTATTGTTTCCTTTCTTTTTTGACAATATATAGAATGATGGTGTGTCTTGATTGGATAAAATCTGTTTATTTTTAAGTGACTGAGACTTAAGTATTGTTCTTTTTTTTTTTAAGATTTTATTGGGGAATTGGGGGAGGGGAACAGCCAAGTTTTTGTCCTTCAGTCTTAATTGTGGAGGGCGCAGCTAGCTCAGCTCCAAGTCCGGTAGTCATCCAGCTGCCCATCAGCAGCTCAAGATGTCCTGTTCAATCTTAGTTGCTGGTGGGCATAGCCCACCATCCCATGCGGGAGTCCAACCACTGGCAACTTTATTGTTAGGAGTATGTGCCTCACCAGCTGAGCCATGCTGCCACCTGTTGGCAGCTCAGCTAAGGCACAGCTCACTGGCCCATGTGGGAATCGAACCCGCAACCCTCTTGCTCAGAGCTCACATTCTTAACCAACTGAGCCATTCGGCTGGCCCAGCATTGTTCTTTTTAAAGAATGAAACATTTCTTAAAATGTATTCGTCCTGAGTCCCCAGGATATAGTGCAAATAAGACTTATTATTTGACATCTTAGCGCCCCCATTTGTAACACTAGAAATCTGTCTTCGCTCCAGGCCCTCCTCCCAGACAGAGTAGGCCACTGGACAAGCCTGACTGGAGAGAGGGTCAGCATTTCCAGTTGGCGCTGAGCCAGCTCTGAGGAAGAGGCCTGACTTACAACCTCCTGGGGCTGTTCTACTTTGCTCAGATTTTTAAGGTATTCCATTACCAGAAAACCGCCTGTCTGACATAGGATATGACTTCACATGGGTCTATTAGGTCAGTCTGAATGGCCCCTTATGGGGGAACCCCACCCCCCGCCGCCGCCTACGGCTGCGGGGCACAGACTGCTCAGTTCTTTTGGCCTATGGGATGTCTTAGGAAAAGTCCAAATCGTTGCCACCATTCAAAACCAGCAGCTTTCACACAAAAATCTGGAGTTCCAGCTTCCCTTGGAAAATGAGATTTGGCCACTACGGGCCTGCAGTCACCACCACCCCAGACACACCACAGTAACCATTGGCTGAAGGGGAGGTGCTGCTCCCCAGTTCACCACAGTCCCCCCCTCACCCTTATGAAGACTCCCACTGCTTCATTCATTTGCATGACCTGCTTGTCCCCTGCAGGCCTTTATATTTGCAATCTTTGAAAAGAAACTAAAGTTTGAAAAGCAAAATAAAGGGTCCAGGTTCTTACATGGTGAGCTCAAATAGGGCAAGCATTATTTGTGTCCCAGATTCTGCAGGAGGGGTCTCCCATGTCAGCTGGCACAGGGCTCTGGGAACCGTCTGGGTTGGCCCCTCTCCAAAAGGCTAGGGAGTGGCGCGCGTTTCCTCACCCCCACCCCTTCGGCAGCCCCTTCTCAGGCAGGACAGGCCTCTTGGATTTCAAAAAGAGCCTTTGCTTTTTCCCAAAAATTCATGGATTGGGCGTGGCGGGGGCGAGGTAGCAATGAGTTAGTGACAATACTACAATACATTAACTCAGAAAAGAAACCAAATCTTTGTGCAATACACACACTTAATACCTTGTGCAATGCACTCACTTAATACTTGAAACCTGCAACGTCATCTCGGATGTGCCCCCGGCATTTCATAGGCACACTACAGCACCACCCGCTACGTACTGCCATGCCCCCACCCCAGGAAATGTGAGGTCTGTAGATGGGGAGCCTTTAGACAACAGCTGAGACAGGAAACAAGAAACTGAAAAGGGAAATCCCCATATAACATTAGCTGGGTCTCTACGGTCAGTTCCCAGGTGGGGAGGGCTTTCTAGAAGGAGCAGTTATTCTTGGGTGAGCAATTGCAAAGCATGTGAAAGGGTCCCTGAAACTAATGGGGTGGGGGCAAATCATTCATGTACATGGTACTCTCTCTGTCAAAAGTTACAAATGATCGTGACACACATCACAGCTACAAGCAGTAACACAGCAGCTCTCATTGTAGTTGAAGACCCATGAGAAGACACAGATGTGCTATCATTCCCGGCTTGGCCACGAGCCCGTCTTCGGGGCCTCGAATTCTCCCCCTATGAAATGAAGACCTGCCCTTTGGCCTTCATGAACCTCATCGGGAGTTTCTAAAGGTCACTCCTGGTCACCATTTGTCCCACATTCTCATTTCGTTTGGTAGGCCGTGTTCTAACCCAACTTACAAATTCAGGTCTGACTTGTTTGTTTATGTAAGTGGGAGTGGGTGGCATGCACTTTCCCTGTCACCCTAGACATGTCCCAAAGGTCACATTAGGCCTGCTGGCACATTTAGCTCCTGCCTTGCTCCTGCAGGCATTCGAGTTCGGGGTAAAGCTCTTTTTCCAGCATACAGTATGCTGAGATATGGTGGCCACCTTTCTGGAAACATTAACATATAGAATATAATGGATTAATAGAATTTCCTAACTGAAAGCTTTACTTTATGTTCTGAAAGACAATTTAAAGTAAGTAAATAAATACCCAGAAAAAGCAGTATAATACTGGAGGTTGCAGTTGGCAACACACAGCTCAAAGCTAGATTTTGCTGCTGACTTAACTTTGACTTTGAGCAAAAAGTTAATGCATGGTTTAAAGTGTAAGGTAAGAGCTCATGCTTGCTAACACATTAAGTCTACTTTTCTTAAGCTCTCCTAAAGACATGCATTTAAAAATGTATATTACAAGGAAATGTTTATTGCAATAGTTCTAATAGTGAATATCAGAAGCCACAATAGGGAGCGAGTGTTAAATCATGGTGTAGCCATAAGCGAAACATTATGAGACCATAAAAAATGTTTTGAAGAGTATTTCGTGGCATGGTAGAGCATCAGAAATAACGTGGACAAGCAAGGTACCAAATCATGTGATTCTAGTTGTGCAAAAACATCTAGTGCCCAGGACTATCACTGGACCAAATATCAAAGTAGGGACAATGGTGCTATCCTGAACTGGTGAGATTTTAGATGATTTTTCATTTTCTTCGCTACACTTTTCTGCAATTAAACATTCTGCAATTTGATTTTATTTAATACAAATTCAAACTTCTCATAGGCAATAACTTTAACACCAGACCTCATCAACCTGACTCCCATCTCAGGCATTGTGCTAAGCAATTTTTGACCATATGGTAACAGATCAAGAAACCAGACATCTGTGGGGCTGTGTTTCTCAAGGAGAGAAGAGGCCAGAGCACGACCTTTGACCCCTGCACTACTCATCTTGCTGTGACAC